GGGTTGCTAACTCAACGGTAGAGTACTCGACTTTTAAGTGCGGTGGCTAGGATATTTTACACATCTGGATGAAGCAACGAATTCGTCCATACCATTGRTAGAGTTTGTAAGACCGCGACTGATCCTGAAAGGGAATGAATGGAAAAAACAGCATGTCGTATCAATGGAGAACTCTGAGAATACTTCATCCTTACTGGATTGGTACAAAATCTTATTTGAATTTTTGAGCGCGACACAAAATTCAAACAAAGTTGGGTCGAGTGAATAAATGGATAGAGCCCTATGGCTCCAATTATAGAGAAACAAAAAGCAACGAGCTTYTGTTCTTAATTCGAATGATTATCCGATCTAATTCGACGTTAAAAATAGATTAATGCCTGATGCAAGAATGGATGGCAAGAGAAAGAAGATGAACAATATTATTGCCTTTAATTGATATTATTTTTTAAAAGTTAATCTATTTTTAAATTTTTTTAAAAATATTATTTTTATTAATATTAAGACCCAAAAGTTGCTCCTGATTGTGGAAAAACCAAATATAATGAGGCCGGATGGGATGTGGATGTGGTAGGGACACTTGGGTGAGCACAGAATAAGCATACAATTATACCTGTCGCCTCTCAATTCAACTGGGTGATGGCTTAAAAGTTTAAAGACACTTGTATTATTTATGCCTGCCAGATGCGTTCTCTGCACTCACTCCTTCAGGCTAGCTTCAGTATAAGTATAAACTTAACTTTGAATTCCAGTGGCCTCAGAAACAGGCTGAAGCATTGATTGAACCCATATATCCTCGATTACCGTTATCATGGCACATGGCTCATTACATCCAAAGTCCATTACCTACCTTTACCTTTCTATTTTATGTTAATTCCATTTCAACTCACAAGGAACAATGCATTCCCGATTATTTAGTTTCTGAGTCGTAATCAATCAACTATCAAATGGTTATTGATTCATTTAAAACCATTGCTCATTGCAGAGAGATATATATCCTAATTATGAGGACAGATCGAGGTTTTCCATCGGATGAAAGCTTTCTACTTTCTTTCCTTCTCTTCTGCTTTTACAATAAATTAAAACAAGTAGCTAGCACAAACATATGCTAAACTTTCTCAGGCACAGACAAGGAAATCTCACTCGTTAAAAAATAATTAATGGATTCGTGCTGAAAGCCAGGAACAAATGAGCTTCTCCGAGACCGAGATCGTTGAATTTCAGCTTGGATGATAAAATACCTCAGCTTGATTAAATGAAGTTGATCGAGATCCACGCTCTTTTAAGAAGTCACCATACAACTATACAAGTTGATCTTTAATATTACATAAACCTTCATCTATCTTCTATTGGTAAGGCTGACTGAAGATAAAAAAAATGAACAAATAATAAACTTTGTTCTGCGACAGTGGAGCCAAAAACGACGTAGCACTCTATATATTGGCCTTGGCCTAACCCACTTCTCCAAGACTCTCAACTCTACAAACCAAGTAAACAATGGCTACTCAATTCTTCTCCATTTCCTACTTCATTTCTCTGTATGTTGTTCTCCTTCTCTCCTTCTCCCATTTGTCTCTCGCAATCGTCCCTCCCTCTGCTAATGTATCGCAGGATGCAGCTTGCAGATCGACCCCTTACCCTTATTTCTGCAAATCCGTGCTCCCACGAAACGAGAACCGCAATATCACCGACTATGGCCGGTTTTCTGTTCGTCGGTCTCTTTCAGCTGCCAGGAAGTTTCTGGGCCTGGTTGATCGATACCTCAGAAACCGATCCAATTTGTCCCAAGCAGCCATCCGAGTTCTCGAAGATTGTAGGCTTCTTGCTGGACTAAATATTGATTTTTTGTTCAGCTCTTTTAAAACCCTGAATTCTACCAAAATTCTCCCTAGCTTAGAAGCCGAGGATGTGCAAACACTTCTCAGTGCCATACTGACTAATCAACAAACTTGTTCTGATGAAATCCAAGTGACAGAATCGGCTTGGAGAGTGAGAAATGGCATGTCCCTGCCTCTCTCTAATGACACCAAACTATACAGCGTTTCTCTAGCCCTGTTCACTAGAGGTTGGGTTTACAAGCACAAAGGAAAGAGACGGAAACCAAAGCCGGGAAGGAAGCTCATATTTTCAGACATGGAAGTTGTTCGACATGGACACCTACCCTTGAGAATGTCAAGACGCAACCGGGAGATTTATGAGTATGTTGGTAGGAGGAAGCTTCTTCAGAATAGCATGGAGTCTGTTTTGGTGAGGGACATCGTGGTTGTGAGCCAAGATGGGAATGGAAACTTCACTACCATCAACGACGCAGTTGCTGCAGCTCCTAACAATACCAAAATTGACGATGGTTACTTCTTGATTTACATCGTCGGCGGCGTGTACGAGGAGTATGTATCCATCGCAAAAAACAAGAAGAATTTGATGATGATCGGAGATGGCATTAACCAGACTATTCTCACAGGAAACCACAGCGTGGGAGATGGTTCGACTACATTCAACTCTGCAACCTTGGGTAAGCTGATTCCGATCATCAGATCATCAAAATCCACTGCTATCTTTACTTTTATTATCATTTTTTTGACTGTGTTTCCCTCCCTTTTACAGCCGTGGTTGGACAAGGTTTCGTCGCGGTAGATATAACCATCCGTAACACCGCCGGACCAGCCAAGGGCCAGGCAGTGGCGGTCCGAAATGGGGCCGACTTGTCAACTTTCTACAGTTGCAGCTTCCAAGGGTATCAAGATACCCTGTATACGCATTCACTGCGCCAATTCTACAGAGAATGTGACATCTACGGGACGGTGGATTTCATATTTGGGAATGCAGCTGTTGTGTTCCAGAATTGTAATATATATGCTCGGCAGCCTCGGAAAGGCCAAGGTAATGCCATCACTGCTCAAGGTCGAACGGACCCAAACCAGAACACCGGCACATCCATTCAGAACTGTAGTATCAAAGCAGCAGCAGATCTAGTGGCTAGCAATTTCACAACTAAGACATACCTGGGGCGACCATGGAAGGAGTACTCCAGGACGGTGTACATGCAATCCTTCATTGATAGCTTGGTAGAACCTTCTGGTTGGAGCATATGGACTGGTGACTTCGCATTGAGTACGCTGTACTACGCCGAGTACAACAATTGGGGACCCGGATCGAACACCAGCAACAGAGTTACATGGCCCGGTTACCATGTCATCAATGCAACTGATGCCGCCAATTTCACAGTCTCCAACTTCATATTGGGAGATGCTTGGATACCTGCAACAGGGGTTCCTTACTATGGCGGCCTACTATGAGAATACAGAATCACCTGCTGCCCATGTTTACTCTGTTTCCTTTTATTCATCTTATTCCTGCAATTTGTATTGGTGATGGATAAATGCCGAAGGGCTTGTTTACTAATAATCACTTTAACAGCCTAGTTAATGTACTTGAAGAGTATGGAAGTGAAGGAAATGCTTGATTGTCATGGGTTTCAAATTTGAACTCCATTCTTCCAACAGATAGATACTTGGAAGAAGCAATTCAAATCGTAAACCTCCTATATCATTGTACAACATGGCCAACTACCATGATTTACACTGATCTTCTACAGCAGTAACGAGCAACTGAGACGAATAAAGGGTCCACGCCCGGAACTTGTTCGACAGGATGATGCATAGAGACCCTTGTTCTTAGAAGTTGGAAGATCATGATCCCTCTTGGGTAATTGATTTGGATGCAACTAACCTTTTAGAAGGGAAATTTCAAATTTACTCATACTTCCTCTACACTGAGAGAGAAAAGGTTGAAAATTCCCCTGTTTTTGAGATATAGGCTTGAACAAACCCTCTTCATATATGTTTTTGACAAATTGCCCAACTTAGACCCGAGCTATATTCAGGCAGTCCGGGCTGGCACTAATCATGGGGATCACATGTGCGCTCCACAAACGTCCTCCATGCACATCTCAGCATCTCAGCGTGCATCCGGAATATCTTCTGAAATTATCAGTGAGCGATGTTTCCAAGATGTGCATTGGGGCGCCATCTGTCACTATGGGGGCGTAGATGTGAATTCCTCTAGTCATGATACCGCTTTTATCAGATGTTTGTCAGGACCGGCCCGGGCCATAATCGACCCAAGCCTGATATTTTCTCCTTCCACAGGGCGCTTCACTCGCGCCTCACGTGCACATCGTACAATGCATTAGGAACATCTCTCGGAGATGCTTCCAATGCACGGTGGATATGCATGTGAGGCGCCCTTACGTGACAAGCAGATCCCGTTCCCCAATACGATTGTGATTTGTGTTTGTGAGGTCGATTCTTGACTATTTGGGTCCCACCCGACCCGATTTCAGATGGACGGTATATTCTACCATCTACGGATACACATACATATACTGATTAAATTAGGAAATAGGAATCAGTAGACAGGTGTGGGGAGGCTCCGTTATCACCGCCGCAGGGTTGAACCAGAGAGAGAAAGGGGGATCTCTGTCAGTTCCTCCATGGCTGCCTCGTCGTCTTCATCTGATTCTTCGTCTTCGTCTTCGTCTTTGTCTCATCGAGATCGTCGTCGCCGCCATAGACACAAAGACGCTCTTAAGATTCGTAATAAAAGCCGCTCTCGAACGAAGCGCAGACAGAGGCATCACTCATCCGATGGTTACTCTTCTTCTTCTTCTTCATCTTCGGAAGGTTACAGGTACCGTAATTCTTAACCTGATATTCTCCTCCTTTTTCCTCCTTTTGTTCTTTTTTTATTGATTTTTTTTTTTCTGTTCGCGTGTGTAATTTCTTTCCAAGTTATTTTATGTTTCAGCACTGTTTTCCTTATTTTGCAATTATGGAATTGGAATTTTCACCACAGATTTAGGGTTTTGGATTTCCTATTCTAATTTTTGGTTTAACATCAGCAGCTTTCATCAATAAAGTTCATATTGTGATGGGGGGTTTTGTTTCTTTGGTTTGCTTTGACCTATATGAATTTGATCTTTGCCCCTTCAGCGTTTTAGTTTCTTTAGGTGCAATTTCTGGAGAAACCGCTTCCATCCAAATAATTAAGTGACAAAAACATATTCTGAGCTATTTATCCAGGGTCTTAGCTGATAAGATGCACCCTCCTCGAGATTGTGCTGCGGAATCTCAGGAATAGTCGGGCTAGATCCTCAAACCAACCCTTTCCCTACCACTTCGAAAAAAAAAACAAAAAGGTAGGGGATTCTTTATGATCTGCCAAAAGAATTTCGTGCAAGGAAAATTAGGTTTCTTGTTGGTTTCTGAGTGATTGTTGAAGCTTTTTTTTTCAAGGGTAACTTTCATAAAGACAAATGGGGGGTGGGGGATGTACATGGGAAGGTGCAAAATCAATAAGGAACAAAAAGCTTGGATCCCACACAAGGAATTAAAAGGGCAAAGAATTAGCACCATAGAAAAATCCATGTTCACCCCAGATTTAGCTAAAGCATCAGCCATGTGATTCATTTCCCTTGGAGTCCATCTGAATGTACAAGTTAAAGAAGCAGAAATATCTCTATTTTCATCAAGTTAACAAGTCTCCAGGGACCCTTCTCCATGTTGGAAGCCCAACCAATTGTATTTTTTGAGTCCCCTTCAGCAACTAGGGAGCTAATTTAGATGAATTTGGCAACCCACAAGCCAACTAGAAGAGCTCTGACTTAAGCTTCTGAAACATCATCTACACCAACTGGCCCACCAAAATCCCAAATCACATTGCCATCTGATTTGAGGATTAATCCCCCAATGCCTGCAGCTCCTGTTGGCCTGAGAAACTTCTACAACTACATCTGAACTTCAGGTTTTATTCAGTAACAGGCCTAGGATTAAGGGCAGAACTGAGATGAGGACCAAAACAATAAGAATGCAGGACTTGCTGATAAAAAAAAAGAAGAATGCAGGACTTCTTTGACGTGTCTGTCCAGGTCACTATAATTAATACCATTAAGCTGCTTACAAGTTAACACCCAGGAGTTGATCTGAGCCATAACTCTCCCCCTTTTCTCAACTTGCAGCTTGATTATTTTGACAGTGGGAGATTCATTTCCATGTTGCATTAAAATGCTTCTCTAATCCAAGCTCTAATCTAAAAACAGTTCATGCCTACCACACTGAATATCTTCCCAAAAAACATTTTCCTTTTCAATTTATAAAGTAACAGTGACTATATATATATATTTATATATAAACATTAAATGCCTATTAAAGAATACTACTCAATTCTAGATTTTGCTTTTCCTATGAAACATGTTGAGTTTCTGGTTAGCAACTTCCAACACACTGAATGAATATTGATTGTTTATGCAATTCCCTATTGGCTCCTTCTATTTTTGCTGCAGTGGAAAGTGTCAAGAGATTTCTCTATAAGATGTTCAGAACAAGGTTTAAAATTTTGATACGATACGCCCGGTATGGGGCGTATTGTATTGTATCTTTAAAATATAGATATGAGATATGCATGGAAATCGGACGTTTCGTCTTTTTTCATGCGTATGGGACCCGTATTGGGGGTGTATCGGGCGTATTGGTAGCGTATCGGTGAAAAAGATATGGTCAAAAACTAAAAAAAATTAAAGGGGAAAAACAAGCTTCTTTTCCCTGAAATAAGCTTTCTTTCACCCTCAAATGACTCCAAAACTCTAAACTTCATTCCTAAAGTGCTAGATTTGCAAAGGTTTGCAAGAAACAAGTGTGGATAGTTAATGTTTTTTAAAGATTTTTCAAATTTTGAAAAGATATGGCAAAAATTGGTAAAATTTTTCAAATTTTTATAATCTTGTGATTTTTTTTGAATGTTTAAATTTATGTTGATCTACATTTGTTACATTCAAAATCACATTTTTTTTTTGTGTTATCAGTAGATTTATGGAAATTTCATGAAGATATTTGGGGAAAATATAAATTAACAAAAAATTTGAAAAATGTAATTTTTCTCTATCTATAAAGACTAAATATGTTTTAGATCTATGGATTTATCTATCATATCCATAGAACAATTGAAATTTCTTCTTTAATATTTTTTTTTGATTTTTTATGTTTGTAGAATTAAAGAATAAATAAGAATTAATTATATTTTATCATTTGATCACAACAATTGAATATATTATAATTCTATGGGTGATCTATCATATCCATAGACCAATTGAAGTTTCTTCTTTAATAATTTTTTTTTATTTTTATGTTTTTATAATAAATAAATAAATAAATAATTAATTATATTTTATCATTTGATCACAATGATTGAATATATTATAATTCTATGGATGATCTATCATATCCACAAAGCAATTGAAATTTATTCTTTAATAACTATTTTTTGAATATATTATATAATGCTTATTTATTTTTTATAATTTTTGAAAATGAATAATAAATAATAACTATTTAAATAATAAATAATTATTAATTATATTTTCACATAGAAGTTGTGCCAATGCATGTTTTATGGTTGGATAGGAGAGTTTGGTTTTTCCCATCCCATAAAACATTAAAACTTAAGAATTACAATTTATAAATTATAGTTAAGCATAGGATTTGTAATGAAATTATAATTAAGTACAATATATTTCTTCATAAAACCATTAAAATATATTAATTTAATGTATATACAGGTGAGGTCTTATATTTAGTGTTGTTGATGTATTTTATGATTTATTAAAGTATTTATAGTGTTTTCAAGTGTATCTATGTGTATCTTAGTTTTTCTCCGATACACATGCGTATCCAAGGCGTATCCCGATATATCTCTTAAAATTGCCTTTCTGATACACTTGGCGTTTCCAATACCTTGAACCTAGGTTCAGAAATATGCTTTATTTTAAGATCATAAATTAATGGTAATCAAACATGAAAATGCATGCAAATAGATTTTCCATAAATGTCAGTATTTTGTTGAGACCACTGCATTGCTTATCATCTTCATTAATTTGGGTGGCTATAATTTCATTGGCCAGATATGATTCTTTTTGAGCTTAACTTCAAATGGCTGCATTCTATGCAATGTGGAGTAACATAAATCCTGTAAAGATCTTTCACTTCTTTTTATTTTGGAGCTACTCCTTCATTGCTAAGCTCAAAACATGGGAATTGTAGGCTATTTTGGGTGGCCAGTAAGTGTGAGAGAATGAGAGAAAATCTTAATTTTTCTGAAGAAAATCATTAAACAAGAATTTGGTTTGGCCTAAGAAAGTGGGCCAAACCCACTATTTGATTTTCTTTATTTATTAAAGGTATAAAACCTTAGTGGCATTGGAGATCCAATACAACTACATTTGGAGAGAAGTATTGGTTAGAAAATTTAAAGCATTGAGGTTATTTTTCTTGTGGTTCAAATGTACCTTGGAATCTTAAGCATGTTGTCTCATCAGATATATTGGGGGTGGAGGGCTACTCCCAGTTTTGTGTGATAGCTATTCTTTTCAATGATAACTATTTCTTCATTGCAAAACCATCCGAAAATGCAAGAAAATTTAGTGTAAAGTGCAAAATGGGTGCATAGGATTTCCAATAAACATCATTCAAAATGAATATTTTATATTCTTTATCTTTCTATATATATTTTTTTTGACATTCATTTAGTTTCTTTCACTTTCTTATATTCTCTTGGCAACCATAAGGAACCTTAGCAATTGACCTATGATTCTGATATCTATTGCCCCTTGTGCTCCACAGTAGTATAAGTTCTTCTGAGAGTGAGCATGAGGCATCCAATCATTCAAGGAAACACAAACAGAGTGACAAAACAAGAAAGGTGGGTATCTGCCGGGACTCCTATTTTCCATTATTTTTTCTTCTTCTTCCTTGGAGATGTGTATTTCATTTATTTTGTTGGCTTGCTTTATTAAAGACCAAAGAAAAGGACAGAAGCAAGAGCCATCGGCACAAGCGCCATAAGCAAAAAGTTAAAGAGGTAGGCCACTATTCTCTCTGCAAGTTTACCATTCACACATTGGGATATCGATAAATATGCTTAAAGTGGTTATTCTATTCAGAATTTGGTGTTCATATGAGATGCCTTTCTTATTTCAGTTCTACTTTCTGAGTGGCACTTGCATTTGTTGAAGAAGTGGCAGGATTTTATTGATAAAAAAAAGAACGTGTTTGAAATTTTGTGGTTTTGCTAAGAATTGTCTTTGCTAGGCAAGTGATGGATGTTTCTTCTGCTTATTTAGTTGGTGTTTGTTCGTGGTTCAAAAAGGGTGGTTGTTTTTCAGAATCATACAACCTGTTTTTTTTTTTTCTCTCTTTTGTGGAAATGAAAATAATGGGTTTGAACCATCATAGGCATTCTGGTACAGATGGTTCTCATTGTTTCTGAATCACACTGAACCACAACCACCATTCAGCTTTGGTCATACGGCCATCTATTTATCATATGTTAACTGATATATAATATGTTACAAGATGGCCAATTTTTAGTGACTAGATGTTCAAGAAATGTACGTGTGTGTGTGCGCCCGTGTGTATTAAAAATAATATATAATATGTGAAAATAAATATAATAAGTTAAAAGTATATATAATCCAAGGTTTTTAAAACCGAACCAGACAACAAACTGGTCAGGGGTCCAGTTCCTGGGACGAACAGTCCAACCATTCGAACTGAACAGATGGCCCATTTTGACAAAAAAATAAAAAAAAATATAAAAATGGCCAAAACCGTTGGATGGTTCGACCGCCCATGTCAGCGGTTTGCTGACCAAATCAATGGCTTTTGGCGAAATAACGGTTATGGGGTAAAATGGAACCAGTAACTTGACCGATTCCCGGTTTTTCCAGTCCGACCATCTGGTCCGGTCCAGTTTTGAAAACCATGATATAGTCATTGTTTTAAAAGCGCAAGGCACAAGGCACAAAAATACAAAAAAAGAGCTAAAAAATAAAAAAAGTCAGAAAATTCAGAAATTTCCAAAAAAAAAATAAAAAAGCAAAAAAAAATATTAAACATAATATTAATAAAAAATATAAACTCAAATTTCAAAACAAATGTTTTAAAAAACCTATTATTCAAAATTAAAATACATAAACATAACATGTAAAGCGTATTCAAATGAAAGCTTAAAAATAAAATCAAACATATAAAACATTTTCAAGCATGTAAAACCCACAATCTCTTTTTCTCCTCAATTGCTTTACTTCAAGTAGCTAATGTGATGTAAAACATATTACATTTCTGATTCTACAAGCTGCCTTTGTGCCACGCTTCTTGGGGCAAGTCCAAATAAGTCCATGTTAGGGTCTTAAATTCTTAATTTTCATACAAAAAGTAATAATTTTATAATTTTAATTGCCTTTTAAGAAGATATTGTTAAGATGAATGAATGAACAACATTAGAAAATAGGGGGTTCTCGGAAAATTTTCAAAAAAAGCGCAGCCGCTAGGTTCAAGAAAAGCAAAAAAACATAAAATTTTCAAAAGGCGCATGCCTGGGCTAAGGCACAAGGCGTATCAGGTGCACGCCTAGGCACAACAGGCGTGTGCCTTTTGAAAGTACTGCACCTTGGACCTGGGCGAGGCACCTACCCTAAAATGTGCCTCGCTTGTGCGCCTAGGCACACCTTTTAAATCACTGTATATAATTATATATTTCATCATTTATATATATATATATATATATATAGAGAGAGAGAGAGAGAGAGAGAGAGAGAGAGAGAGAGAGAGAGAGAGAGAGAATTTTATACAAATAGGAATATTGGCCCAAGATACATAGAATCACTTTGCCATGTCAACCTTTTTTTTTTAAACCATGTTTTTGTGTTCAAAAAGCTATCTTCCATAATGTTCAAAAAAATGGGGATTTTGCCAGGTTTGGAACAATAGATTTTTTTGGTGGTCCTTTGGAACCATAATTTGCTGGTTCTAGCATCAACAACAAAATAAAAATATCCTTCAGATAACTGGCTGCATTTGCAAACCCAAAGAACACGAATGTAACCACAAACCGAACACCCCCTTAGATGTCCTGTTCAGCTTATTGTTACTATTTGAGAAATTACTATATTTCTTGCTCATACCTGCTGTACAATGTCTTTTCATAATATCCTAGGTCCAATTGATTTGGCTCAAGCTATCTGACTTCTTATCCATTCTTTCCATCTTGTACACATTTGCAGATTTTGTTGCTACAAGTTATTATCTTGTTGGCTTGTGTCTGTGCAATATTAAGAATTTACTAGGATAGATTTTTTGGAGTTTTTTTGCGTGGTTTTTAATATATTTTTTAGTTGAGGTGCTTATATTATTTGCTGCCTGTTTATGGATTGGCTCTTCGACATTGGAGCTGGGATCGGTGACCTGGTGACTGGGGTGCTGGGATTGGCTGGCCTGACTATTGTTTCTTGCTCATGATTCTTCTGGCTATGGGAGCCGTATATAGAAGCAGCAGAATGAGAGGAGCAGCAGCCCTGTGCAGCTGTCCAAGGTTTTTCTTCTTGACTTGTATTAAGAAATTCCAGCCGTTTCAGTTTCGCTCTATATTATTCAGCTTTGGCTTACGTTGATGTCCACTACATCCAGTTCTTAGGGCGTGACAAGGAAGATGGTGTCCGCCGCAGTGCTATATCAGGCAAAAAGGTGAGGCGTATTTTTACTTTTTGTTGTTGGAAGGTCGTGTAAAATAGCTTGCATTATTGATCTTCTTCATTAATCTTTAATTCTTTATTAGATTCTGTTGAAGCTTGAGAAATCAAAGGAGGACAAGCTGGCAGAGAACAACCGCAATGAATTGCTCAAGTTTTTGAATGCTAGTTATGATTGATCAAAATAGGATTGAAGAGGGATTCTGGCTTCAACAGAAACTCTATTTTATTTTTGGACATAATGACCAAACGGCATCTGAAGTTTTTATTATTCACCATGTTATTACGCTTACTTGTCATGTTTGTGTATGCATTGACAAATAATCTATAAGGGTTTATTTTTATATCCTAGGGCTTTTGGTGAAGATCTAAATTGAATACTACTTTGTTCTTCCTCGTGCATTTTGTAGTTTGTATGTGGGGGTCCTTTTTCTTTTTTCTCCTTTTCTTTTAGAAATAAAAGGGGAGATTGTTGAACTTCATTCTGTTTAATTTGGACCCAAAGACCCTACCAGAACCATAGGGGGGACACATCTTCCAAAACTTTGGCCTTGACGGATAAAAATAACAAGATGGATGGATCCCTTTTTGGGGTATGAATTGATCTTTCATGCCAAGTGTCCCATAGGCGATGTTGGGCACCCTTCTGGTTGGCACAAACAGACGTGGGCATTGTATCCCTTGGAAATAGAAGGTGATTCTATGATTCTATGATTCTAAATTTCTATCAATGCTATTAGATGGATCGGAGGCAACGATTGGTTCACTTGAGGTTGCTCAATTATCTTAATCAGGTGAAACAGAAATCGTTCCATGATCATTGAAGTGAGATGGAACCCAAAAGAGCCGATTTAGGTTGCTCATTGTCTTAAGGATTGAATCGGGTTCTCTTGGTATGCTCATGGGCACGCATAATTAGATATATTCTTGGGCCGGGCCGGGCTTTGCTTCTTTATAAACAAAAAGTTATTATGCATGAGCCTGAGCCCGAGTCTGGCTTGACGATCAGGCCTACACAAGTTTGGCCCTATATAAAGCTTGAAGTTTGGGCTTGAGCCCAAAACCCGACTTTGATAGATATTTTATAATATATTAATTATATTATTAATAATATATTATATATTATGTATTATTAATATATATGTTATATTTCTGTTATATATTTAATATTATCGGGCTCGGGCTGGGTTTATTTGAGAAAACTTAAATCCGGCCCGAAAAATAAGTCAGGCTTGATTTTTAAAGCTCGAGCCCGGGGCGTTAAAATTTTGTCTAAGCCCAATTTAATACAAGATGGGCCAAGCCAGCCTGTTAGGCTACTCGACCCATGAATAGGTTTACGCAAGAGTACATATTTGTAGCAAAATAAATAAATAACATACATAAGATCGTTAGCCTTCATAGGGTTTACGATAAATAGTTATTGAGCAATGATCCCTAGTCTATGTTGTTTAGAATATGATGATGTGCTTTTGGTAGCTTTTAGCTAGCAAGTGACTCAGATGCCTAGTTGAACAATTCCTAGTTGGACGGTGGCTCGGACGCTTAGCTGAATAGTTTATAGCTAGAATGTGGCTTGTATGCCTAGTTGAACAATTCCTAGCTAGAATGTGGCATGGATGCCTAGTTGAACAATGATGAGCTGTATTGTTTATTGGGGCGACCTACAAGGAAACAGTGTCAAAGTGCCCGAGTTTCTTTACCCGGGGTGGGCACTCCAATGCTTAAGTTAGCGATCTAGAGATTTTGAGAGAGCTAAAAGCGAGAGAGATAGAGAGTTGCGAGAGCTAAATTGTGCATGTCCCTTCTGAGGTTGAAGGTAAGGCTCTTATATTGGCATTGTTTGGCATGGGCTTCATGCACCGCTTTCGAGATCTTCGGGAAGACGTGCCTAGCTGATCCAAAGTCCTCAGAGGTACTCGTGCACATGGACTAATCTTTGCGCCTTATTCGGTTTCATCCGGAATGTTCGGTGAGGGAGCTGACTTTCAAGAAACCCGGGAGTGATAGGATGCATGCAGAATTGGTTGTTGGCGAGCACGTTTCACAGATCACCACTTGGACCTCAATCAGGTCGGCAAGCCCTCAAGGGATGTCGCTCCTCACGTTGAGGTCACTTCAATTGGTACTGACGAGGTACCATAGGTTGGCCCTAGACGAGGTGCTGCTAGCCGCCTTGTCGGTGTGCCCGAGTTGTGGACGAAGTTGCCAACTAAGTTTCCACTAGGTCGGCGGAGATAAGGCGCCAGGTTGGTGCCGGAGGCAGGTCACCTGGTCAGCGGTAGAGGCAGGTCACCAGGTTGGTGGAGGTAGGTCGCCAGGTCAATGGGGGCAGGTCACTAGGTCGGCGGGGGTAGGTCTCCATGTTAGCGACCAAGGCAAGTAAGTCGCCAGGTGAGACTCCACCATTTTGGCTAAGGCAAGTCATTGCCTAGGTGATGCCGGGTGTCATCCAGCTGTTCTGAGATGCATCTGCCATGATGTTAGTGTTGGGCCAAATCTATTCTCATCAGAATACAAATATCGTAGCAGAAACAACATTTGAAAGAACACTAAACACGAGAAAAACGAGTGACGATTCAAATAATGGTTTGATGAAATGAACAATCACTTCCATTTTGTCCATGGAATTTCTATTTCTTGTCAATCTATACATATTTAAGGTCCTATAGATCTTTACAACGATCGAATGCGCACGGATCAGAAAAAAAAGTGCAAACAAATTAAATATGGAGGTTGAGGTCGAGCGCAACCAAGAAAGATGTGGATTATTGAAGTGGGGATTCATTTCACAATAAAATGAATCCCAATAAACTTTTAAGTTGTGTTTGGTTTGAAGGAAAAAGTAGGGAAAGGAAGGGAAAGGTAAGGAAACCTATACAAGCTTTGTAAAAGTTTCCTTACCCATTTCTAATTTTTTCTTTAAACCAAACATAGCTTTAAAGATTGTAGAATGCTAATAAACTAGTGGAGGGGCCCGTTGCAGGGGCTTGCAAAAAGGTAAATTACTGTAGAGAAAAAATGCCAAGGCTAAATTTTTAATTAAAAGTTTTAGGGAAAAAAAAGATTTAAAATATCCCTGCCCTACTTGATCAAAGTCAAGCTAGGATTGGAGTTTCACTCCACATCCCATCACTATCCTCGATCGGATATCCCTATTAATTTGTGACCCGGCCCCTTGGCCAGTCTAAATATACACCCCAAAAATCGGTTTGTAAATAATTGTGAATAACCATTCGCCTGATCGGTTCAATTAGAGAACTGGTCTCAGTTTTGTATAATCGACCGAACTTTTGCATTCTCACTTTTAGTGCAAAAGACAAAAACATAAAATTGGGCCAAACAGGCCCTTAGGTCCAATCGAATCCCAATCCAACCAAAGTAAAAAACCCTCTTCCATCGATCTCTCCTTTCTTTGTTTGTTCAAACCTAACCTAACACCACCACCAACGCCTTTGCTGATGATCAATAACACCGACGCCATTACTGTTGCCGTTGATAGATCATAACGGACTAGCTCTACCCCTACCGTTAGCATCCGTTAGTGTTCTGTCAAAATCTGTGCATAAATGACACTCGTGAGGTACAATTTTTTTAAAACCCAATATTGCCCTTCATCCTTCTTCTTCACCATCTTCCTTTCAGCAGCAGCAAACCGAGAAGGAGATTGTTGAAAGAGGGAGGTATTAAAAGCATTAAGGAAAAACAAATTATATGCTAATTTAAAGAAGTGCACTTTCATGAGTGATAATTTGTTGTTCCTCGGATTCATTATAAGCAATGATGGAATTAAGGTGGATGAAGGGAAGGTGAAAGCCATTAGGGAGTGGCCGACCCCATCAAACGTCACGGATGTAAGGCATTTCCATGGGTTAGCAACTTTCTACAAGCGATTTATCAAACACTTTAGTAGTACTGTACCTCCCATCACTGAATGCTTGAAAAAGGGGAAGTTTCAGTGGGGAGAAGAACAAGAGCAGAGTTTTGCCCTCATAAAAGAAAAATCATGTACTGCTCATGTCCTTGCCTTGCCAAGTTTTGATAAACTGTTTGAAGTAGAATGTGATGCTAGTGGACTTGGCATAGGGGTTGTATTGTCCCAAGAGAAGAGACCCATTGCCTTTTTTAGTGAAAAGTTATGTGAAGCCAGGAAGAAGTGGTCCACCTATGACAAGGAATTCTATGCTGTAGTTAGAGCCTTGAAAACATGGGAACATTATTTAATTGCTAAAGAATTTGTTCTTTACGTCGACCACCAAGTTCTTAAGTATCTCAGTAAGTAGAAGCAGTTGAGGAGTGATCTGCATGCAAGATGGTCTGCTTTCCTTGATATATTCCCATACAAAATTATGTATAAGGCTGGGCAGCAAAATACAATGGCCGATGCTCTTAGTAGACGTGTCGCCCTCATCAAGACTCTCAGTATTGAAATTCTGGGCTTTGAATGCTTGAAAGACCTCTACGCCCAAGATGAGGACTTCCAACAGGCATGGGAAAAATGTATAAATCGACAGCCAGTAGGTGATTTTTACCTTCATGATGGGTTCCTTATGAAAGGAGAACAGTTGTGCATCCCTTGCACCTCCCTCCGTAAAAAGATCATCAGGGGTCTGCATGGGGGAGGATTGGCAGGCCCTTGGGGGAGACAAAACAATTGAAGCAGTCAAAGGGCGTTACTATTGGCCGAAGTTAAGAAGAGATGTGTCTACTATTTTAAGTAGATGCTATATCTGTCAAACAACCAAGGAACAGACCCAGAATACCAGCCTCTACATGCCTCTACCTGTTCCTACCGCGATTTGGGAAGACTTGTCCATGGATTTCGTGCTAGGGTTGCCCAAATCTCCTAGAAATATGGACTTCATCTTTGTAGTGGTTGACCGGTTCTCAAAGATGGTTCATTTCCTTCCATGCAAGAAGACAACAAATGCAACAGCGACAGCCAAGTTATTTTTCAGAGAAATTGTCCGTTTACATGGGGTACCTAAGACCATTACATTAGATCGAGACACAAGGTTCCTAAGTCATTTTTGGATGACCCTATGGAGGCTATTTGACTCATCATTGAATTTCAGCAGTACAGCCCACCCGTAGACGGACGAATAGACAGAAGTGGTGAATCGGACCCTTGGTAATTTGATTCGCAGTATCTGTAGGGAGAGACCGAAGCAATGGGATTTTGCCATAGCACAAGCCGAGTTTGCCTACAATAATGCAGTCCACAACTCTACATGTAGATCTCCATTCTCCATTGTCTATATGAAGGTTCCTAATCATGCACTGGACTTAGTGAAGCTACCCAGAGTACCCAGTGCCTCGGCAGAACAACTGGCAGAGCAGATCCAGTCCGTCCAAGACGCCGTAAGGCGGAAACTAGAGCAAACCAACGCAAAATACAAGATGGCGGCAGACAAACATCGTCGACACCAAGTATTTGACGTCGGTGATGAAGTTATGGTGTTCTTGAGAAAAGAACGGATTCCCGTGGGGAAGTATAACAAGCTACAGCCTCGGAAGTATGGTCCATACAAGATCATGAAGAAAATCAACGACAATGCGTATGTCGTGGACTTGCCAGATCACATGGGTATTTCTAAGACATTCAATGTGGCTGACCTTCACCAATACCTGCCCGAGACGACACTTGCATATCCCAGTCACGACCCGGGGTCGAGTTATTTCCAAGTGGGTGAGAATGATGGAGGCCCATCTCAAGGTCCATCCCCTCATATAGGCGGCAATTCATGAGATAAGAGTCACATTCAAGATAAATCAAGAGTCCAAGATAATTCAAGAATTCAAGATAAATCAAGAATCCAAGATAATTCAAGAATCCAAGATAAATCAAGAATTCCAGATTCAAGATAAGCCCAAGATTCAAGGAAGTTCAAGATCCAAGGTAATTCCGAGATAGACCCAGGGAGATCGAATGGTGGAGATCAAGGCAACATCCAAGAAGAGTTCGATCCTAGCTAGGAGATTAGATGTTTAAGATCTATCACAATTTTTCTTTCCTAATTACTCTACAATTTCCAGATGTATAATAAATACTGTTAATTCCAAGCTAATAAACACATTTAGTTTTCGCCAACTTTTCTCTCTCCTCAAGAGATTCACGTCCAGCTTCGCTACGAAGCTTGCGTTCGCCCGGTACTTGCATAACCAACCCGGTTTTCATTGCTTTTACGCTGCGTCAAGTAATTTCATAAATGTAAAAAATGTAATTTCATCATATTTTTGGTTTTTAGTTTGATGCAAACAAGTAAGAAGTAATGAGGGATAGGAGATAGGATTTTGTTAAATCTTATCCATGTGAGTATAAAGGTGATAATACAATCAAAATGCCAATTGATGAAGATTCAAATTTAAACAAGTCCTAGCTGATGGAGACCCAATTTCTATCCGGAGTCATGAGGCTACTCGGAAGAAACAAGTGAAACTCAAAGTAGAATGTAGGGAGAAGTAGCTAAAGAAGAGCGTTATTTACTTGCTAAACTATTGCTGGAAGAGATAATAACTAGGTCCTTTATTTATATCGAAAAGTTTCTGCTTGCTTTCCTTGGATTTTGTGCTTTTAGTAGTTGAGCTAATTTTGTGATGGTTGCGACTTGCGGTTGGCATGGTTTGTATAGTTATGAAACAAAAATGGATTCAATTATTCTACAAGCCATTCTTTTTTTGAAGGTTCAAGGGTGGAAGACTTTAATTATACAAACATTGTAGGGTGGTTGTAATGGAAGGGAATATAGTATTAATTCCTTGGTTCAATTATTATAGGACAAACAACAACAAATTTTCATTTTGATTTATTACATCGATTTCTTTGTCGTATTTGAATTTAAAGCATTTATTTTCTACAAAACCAATTCTATTTATTTTGAATATAAAGCATCTTCAGGAGATCATTTTCGAGTCATTAGCCCCTTCTCTGCTCTGCTCTGCTCTGCTAGTTAATAAAAGAAATTAAAAAAAAAAAAGGGTATATATGTGTCTGCATCATTCCATGTTGAGTCCTGATTCACAAGACAATAAGGGGTATGATTTAATGGATTTCAGATGAGATGTCTAATGATGTGTTCTTGTAACACGAATATCAATTTTAATGACAAACAAGGCTGCAAGTAATGGTATCATCATCAATGATGGATGGAGTTAATGAAACCATGCCGGCCATGTGTGAAGAAGGTATTCATCATTCAGTTAATAAAAAAAGAAAACATGGAAGACAGAGATATCACATCCCGGCCATGCGATCAGCTATGGCTAAAGCATTGCTGCATAGATGGTTGAAGAGTTCAGCCTTGTCGCTTATCTCCGAGAACTGGACGCCGGACTGTCCTTTGAATGCTTTCTCGCACAACTCTGCTCTGAACATGGCGGATGTCAGCCATCTGTTCACGTTGTCGAAGTCTTTATTATCCAAAGCGGAGAATGAGCTCTGCACTAGAGAAATTGCCTTTTCGTAATTCGTCGAGCATTCAACAAAGCAGCTCTGGGCGTTAAAATCTTTTGTGGTGTTAGCCAACTTAGAGACGTAGTCGACGATGTAGGTTGCGTTGGACAATGCGTGCTGGAGCGTAATATTCGCAAGATCCCTGATGTTTGCTATTTTACCTTTCGATTGTTGCAGGTCTGAAATGCAGAACTCCTTGTAAATGGCGTGCTCGCAGGTGTTTTTGATCAGATCACTGGCTTCATCAGCCTGAGCAACCGAGGTGGTGAGGGAGAGGGTTATCAGAGTTAGGAAGAAGAAGAAGAAGGAATGTGATGAATTAATGCAGCCCATAATTATGATTAATTTCCAAAGTTATTAAAGATAAAGATTGCTTTTGGGGAGACTTTATTTTGGTCTGAACTGCCTTTGATTTGAAGAAACAAAAGGGTAGGAATTAATATAGGGTAGTTAGTTCTAATTTGATAGATAGTTCATGGTTTTTCTTGTTAAGGGGTGATAGATCAAGACATGAACCAGTGAATGGTCATGCATGTAATACGATACATGCGGTTGAAGCGGTCTCATCGGTTTCTCATCGTTAATTGTATTCGATTCAGTTGACCAACTTAATCACCTCATCACCCATTACTAAATTAATATCTAAATACTTATATATATATATATATATATATATATATATATACACGATATGAATTCATTAGTTATAAAGTTGGTTTGAACATTATAAAATTGGTCTCTTAGCTTTGGAGTTATTTAGGCTATTTTATACATGACAAGTATTCTGATGAGTGTGATTCAATTTGAAATTAATATGATGGTTAGGAAAACGAATTATATCGATTTTACCATGAAAAAAGCGAGGGTAGTTTTGCATTTTAAAAGATCCATCTTTTGAACTCAAGTGGGCTTATGAAAGATCAACTTCTAATGGATCGAATCCAACACTGGTACTAATTCGTAATTCTACGTCAGCTACTAAGGGTCAGATATAACTAAGCTAGGTTGAAGTTTAAAGGCCACATTAATAGACATAGACAAAGAATTTGATGCCTTCAGCTCCCACTGATTTCTCCTCTGTTTATTAATTTGCTTCATTTTATTATGCTTCTTTGCTGTTGCGACGACCTACATGCCAATGCTACACTCAACTGTGTAAAATGGAATTTTTCTGTTTTTCTTTCTTTATTTTTTGCTAAAATTTTCGATAAATATTTATATTTTAGGCCTAATGCCAATCTAGTAGTCGAATTTTTAATTTACGGCAATTCAGTAGCTAGTATTAACTTACCGTCAGTTAGGGCCATCATGTTTTATTATACCAAAACTAACCTTTATGATAATATTTGGACCATTTTACCCTTTTTCTTTCTTTGTACCCTATTCTCCAGACCGACCGTTCATCATTCCGAGCACGCGCAGGTGGTTAGGTGTTAATTTCAATCAACTCCAACTGTTTATTGACGAAGAAGGTGGTAAACTTACCCCATTCTGTCCCTTTTTCTTGAAACTGGGTTGAAGGAACGACAGAGGAGAGGAGGAGAGTAGATTGACTGACCGTTAATATTCGTATCTCGTCGGAGTCGAACTACCCAGTAGTCCGGAGAACTGCCCGTTGAGGGGGTCGGTTTTTCATTATTTGAATGTTGACACGTCGTTCACCCAAGCATGTGACTTGCCACGAACTCCACAGCATTGTTGCAGGGTTAGACACGCAAGGCTGCCATGGTGAAACATGTCGACTTTTAACCCTCTCTTCCCCTCCCTCTCATCATAACAGCACTCAGTGCTCTCTCATTATTCACACTTTCTATGTTTCAGCCTCTGCCTTGTTCTTTCTCAGAGAGTATCTGTTCTTGCTTCTATACATAGAAGATGAGCAGTAATTTGGAAACTCAATCCCTCCTCGATGAGATCCAGGGCTTTGACAAGGGGTTCTTGTTCGATCTTGGCTATCTTCCTCTCAACCGTATCGTAGGGAGTTTTGTCTGGGGTATTAATTCCCATCTCTCTCTCTCTCTCACATAACGGTACTGCATTTTTTTTAGATAGGAGCAGTTCAGACGGTCTCTAGGGAGGTGTATTTCATCGCCATTGAAGGTACAATGGTTGATACTTGAATGTCGTATCTGCTTTAACAAAAGTCTGCAGTTGCGAAGCCAAAAATGTGGGGATATTGGTCTTTGTTGTTCAGGAGCAGGGACAAATTCTAATGGTGCTCCAGTTGTCACAGGGACCAAGAAACAACGGTTGCCAGAGCTCAAAGGTAACCAATAAAAACAAGAAAATCTTCTTGGCCTTCATCACTGCATCTACATGAATCACGTACTCTTACATGGTTGTTGTTCGTATACACGCGTTGTGTGGTGGCCGTTGTTGGTTTCTACTTGGATCTAATCGGCTGGGCCTAAATTGCTCCTTTTCCTTGGTTTTTCGTGGTTTTGCAGGAGAAACCGATAGAAAATCTTGGGAAGCAATGGTAAAGCTGAAATCCTAGTTAACATTTTACTTTACCGGTAGTCTGGTACTAGAGTTGTCACGTTTCTATTTTCAATTCACATTATAACGGTTTGGCTCCCTACCCTGCTGGCAGTTGTATATTTTCCTCTCTACCGCCGGTGGTTCTAAAAAATCAAATCTTGCATCAAAATCAACCAGAAGTCAATGTTATATAATGACAGTAAAAAAGCATAGAAAATTATAGAAAAATAGTAAAAAAACCATACTCTGGTTGTCTCCTTCGGCGCCAGCAATAAGAGGTCGTCTTCTCCGTCAATGATTGAATTAAAAACAGGGGGCACCAGCAGCAAATGCGATTTGTTCCGGCGACTTCTTCCAAAATACACGGAGAAGATCTTCGTATGTTGTCTGGTGGTGACTTTGTCGATTTCAACTTTTTCAGCGTCATATTGCGCTTGACATCATCGACAGGAGGAACTGGTTTCTTCCACACTTCAACTCACAGAGTGGGTGAACAGTGAGTGGTTCCCACTTGTTTTGGGGTCATTTTGAAAAATAATCCATACATTGGTCGAAATCGCAGAGATGGTTATATCATTTTACATTTTAACAGTAGGTGTTGGATTGTCACAATTTAGGTACTAGTTCGAATACTAGAGGTATTTATAGGAATTTTCCCTTTTTTCTGAGCTATAAATGAAATAGTAATGGACAAATATTTTCTTTCTTCCGTATTTAGAGGTGAGAATGAGGTTAATTTGACTGTCATTTGTCGATGAAAGAAATGGACAAACCAACCCAACTTTCGGTCTTTTCCATCTTTGATTAGATTTTTATTACCCATTAAATTCGGCCATTCCCACTACTTTCAGTTGCTTCCAGGCCCGTTCGTAGCCGTGGGCCCCCAATTCTAGACGTTGACATGCATTATCAAAAGCCTATCTCTCTTCCTCTCATCTCATGGACAGTTGCGCTCATAATTTTGAAGTAGGTTGGTTTTCTTAACGTCATTAATTTTGAGGTTGGTTGGTTTTCTTACATCATCCGTCCTTCGCTATGTTTAGTTTGAAGGAAAAAGACAAGGGAAAGAAAGGGAAAGACGGAAACCTATATAGTATATAAAAGGTAGTATATACAAGGTTTGACTTACCCTTTCTTTTCTCACCTTTTCCTTCAAACTAAACACTGTAGGGTTGTATTAAGTTTCAAGGAAAAGGTAGGAAGAAGATAAGAAAACCCTTACAAGCTTAATAATAAAAGGTAAAATTAAAAACTTCTCCTAAATCTTGAAACCCCCCCCCCCTCAAGTTTCATTTTAACAAAAGCAATTCCTTTAAACTTTTAAAACTTACCTCCCTTCCGTCAGTAACTGAGACGGAAAATTGTAAAATTATAAAATTATCTCTAATTAATCGTCAGGGCATCATTTAACATATTTTAGAATACCAAAAAGGCGTTTAGTAGATTCACTCAACTTTACTTTGGAATCTGCATTGTTAGTTTCTTTCTTGCACTTCCTGCACAAACCATTTATTAGTTTTCGAAGAATAGTCTTCTTCGACCTAGCGTCTGTAATGGCATTTCTCATCAGTCACCATCCCTACTCGGTTCGATCGGTAGCAGGGGAGATCTGCAGCCAGCAAGCACATGACAGGGAGCTACAGCCTACAGGAACAACTACAACTGAAGTTATAGACATGGTGTGCCTGAACTCCTATTCCCATCTTTTGAACCTATCGAAGAAGCATTAAGAATCTCACAGTCGCTGGTGATGACCGGCCGCTTCATCCTATAGAGTGGGAAGCCGGTATGGCTTCGTTTCTGCTATGAGCAACTCCCCCGTACTTGTCCCAACTGTGTTCTCCTCGGTCATGTTTGGACAAATTGTAGAACACTTGAATCAGGAGTGGAAGACTATAAAAAATATCTTCAAGACAGAGAGATAAACCCACACAGGTGAATGGCTTCGGGCGGAACATAGGCCTCACAAACCATACAACATTCCAGTCTTCAATCCTTCTATACAACCGGTCAGCTCCTGTAAAATTCCTCACAGCGACATGGGTTCCGATGAAGACTCAGAAGACGGCACAGGCGGCCGTAAACGTCGGTGTTTGGACTACTCCGGCAATCAACCAGTAGTGATCAACAATTTGGGAACTCAGCAACAAGGAAACGAGCCAACGCATCAACGATCCCATCTCTCCTACCATGCAGCACGTGGCACCGCCCTCTCTCCACGTATTATCAAATATTCATGCAGAAAATCAAAACAGATTTCAAATCAGCCCCACACAAGCTTGCCCCCCACAACGTCCCACAACAAATCACCACATCAATTCACTGACAAAGCCCCGGAAACTTCTCGTCCCATGCATGCACAAGCCAATATCAGCCCCCACCCACCACCACCCCAAGGTCCCCAACCATTTGTCTAGGTGTTTGTGGTCCGATTTGATGCTGTTTAGAGAAATTCTCAAACCAAAATCAATTCATTTTGGTATAAAAATCAAACCAAATTAAATCGTTTTATTAGTTTGATGTGATTTTTAATACCGTTTGTGGACTTTGTAGCATTCCATGTTTTACTTGATTACAAAACTATTATAAAAAAAATAATTAACAAAATAAAAATAATTTAATAGAAGGGGAAAATCTATAATGCAGAAAAGATATGGTATGAAAAGAGTATGAAAAGAGTATGACTAATCAAAGCTCATTCATGAATTTTGATAAATAATATCATGTTCTTGAGATATTATATCTTTTCTATATTGAATAAAACAATAAAACATATGCATTCTAATGCTGAAAATGTATAATTAAAAATTAAATATATCTTAAATTTTATTGTCTAAAGTTCTAAAATTGTT